GCCAGGAACCTTGTCCCCACCGCCAGGAACCTTGTCCTCACCGCCAGGAACCTTGTCCTCACCGCCAGGAACCTTGTCCTCACCGCCAGGAACCTTGTCCTCACCGCCAGGAACCTTGTCCTCACCGCCAGGAACCTTGTCCTCACCGCCAGCAACCTTGTGCTGTCCGCCAGGAACCTGGTCCTCACTGCCAGGCACCTGGTCCTCACCATCAGGAACCTTGTCCTCACCGTCAGGAACCTTGTCCTCACCGTCAGGAACCTTGTCCTCACCGTCAGGAACCTTGTCCTCACCGCCAGGCACCTTGTCCTCACCGCCAGGCACCTTGTCCTCACCGCCAGGAACCTTGTCTTCACCGCCAGGAACCTTGTCGTCACTGCCAGCAACCTTGTCCTGACCGCCAGGAACCTGGTCCTCACCGCCAGGCACCTGGTCCTCACCATCAGGAACCTTGTCCTCACCGTCAGGAACCTTGTCCTCACCGTCAGGAACCTAGTCCTCACCGCCAGGAACCTGGTCCTCACCGCCAGGCACCTGGTCCTCACCGCCAGGAACCATATCTATGATGTAAAATATTGGTTTATAATATGGATTATACATATAGCAAACCAGGTTCACCCTGGACAAGGAGGACAAGGTTCCTGACGGTGAGGTCAAGGTTCCTGACAGTGAAGACCAGGTTCCTGGCGTTGAGGAGCAGGTTCCTGGTGGTGAGGACCGGGTTCCTGGCGGTGAGGACAAGGAGCCTGGCGATGAGGACAAGGTTCTTGGTGGTGAGGACAAGGTTCCTGGCGGTGACAAGGTTGCTGACAGTGAGGACAAGGTTCCTGACGGTGAGGGCAAGGTTCCTGACGGTGAGGTCAGGAACCTTGTCGTCACCGTCAGCAACCTTGTCGTCACCGCCAGGAACCTTGTTCTCACCGTCAGGAACGTTGACCTCACTGTCAGCAACCTTGTGCTCACCGTCAGGAACCTTGTCCTCACCGTCAGCAACCTTGTCCTCACCGTCAGGAACCATATCTATGATGTAAAATATTGGTTTATAATATGGTTTATACATATACTAAACCAGGTTCACCCCGGGTTATAAACTGTCTGGGTTAACTCTTATACAAGTTAGTTTTATCAGTGGTTTATCAAGTGTAAAGGCCTGTTCAAACGAAGCCAACATGTTGGTCGAACATCATCCAACCTTGTTTATGTTGGGTAATTTTGGATAAAGTTTGAGTTTTAAAATTTTCATCCAACATTATCCAACATTGTTTGGCCAACAATCAATGTTGGATGATGTTATCTTCGTTTGAACCAATTGTTTTTGAACAGGCCTTAAACCATCAATCCAGTTAGTTTGAATTCTAGCTGCTTTCAAGGTGTGGTTCACCCTGCCCCAAGATCAAACTACAGCATAGTTACAAAGTTTAAACTGTTAATATTTTAACAACATTTATCATGTCTAAGTTTGTACAGGGTTTGTATCACTATAATTACAATTAGCTATACTGAAAAATACCCTGTGTGATGGTAATATCCAAGCATGTCACTTTTCAAACAAACATTCACTTTTCTTGTTGCATTTATCACAGCCAACTTTAAGTGATCATTATTACCATGAACAATGTAATTAATAAGTACGCTGTTTATTTTTGAAAAGCTCTCTTCGATTGGGTTCAAATCTGGCGAGTATGTTGGCGTATATATTAATTCTATTCCCATTTCCTCTAGCCATTGTTCCAATGCTTCGCCTCCTTGATAGTGATGACAGGAAAGGTTATCCATCACAATAACATCCCCTACTGCAAGGCACGGTAGACCAGTCGTGGCATTAAGGGATTGTCCACATTCCTCGAAAAACTGGAGAAACTCGACAGTGTGTGGCTCCATCAATTACTTTAGCGTATTCAATACCATTTAATGAACACATAGCACTAAGTGTTAGGTTGGGCGATTGAGCTTTTTTACAACTTCCACGCACTGTTCCCCTACAGGTGAATGTCCATATTTTCTCATGCCAACATCGGGAAATTTGATACCAGCTTCGTCATAGTACTTGACGTGATGAGGATCCTTTGTATTAATGTAGTTCATAAACAACTGCATGTACAAAAGATTGTTGTTTGTAAACCTCTCTGCCGCGATTTGAGTAATTTTCTTCCACGAATATCAACGACCCCGAAGGCATTCTATTCCAAATTGCACGACTGAAAGTAGAGAGAGAAACCCTTGACCTCAACATCGCCCAATTCATCAAGAATTTCCCAAATTTCTCCTAACAATAAGACCCTTGTGAGGTTTTAAGAGCTTCTATCAATTCCAAATCGCCCTTGGGACAACTTGGGAAATCTCATCCAAATTTTCTGAGCCGTATTTGGCGCTACTTTAAAATGCCCTGCTATTTTGGTGTACCCAGATGGAATATTTCTAGTAGCTCGATTTTCCCCTTCTAATATTTTATCAATGATATTTCTCCGAAAATTGATCGAGAGTGCTTTTCCATTTTCGTATGTCCTTCCACATTTACTAAATTTAAGCATATTTTATATTACATCTTGTGCATGCAAGACATCTGAGGCTTTCCAGTGGTAGTAATCCCGACCCGACAGCACAAAGCGCCATGCAAGGGTACTAATCCCCCCCCCCCGGTTATTTACACCCGGGGAAACGAAAGCATTAGCGAAGTTTAAAGTTCATCAATGACTGCGAGCGTGAGTTACCGTGAGTAGTTCGGTGGATGGTCATCTCACTGATCTCAAAATATGGCTGTTTGCCAGGAGTCAAGAGACAACAAATATAAGAAATGCATGTCGGAAGCTTGGAAAATCGTTTCACATATATAAAATAAATGTAAAACTTTTTTACCATTATAAGAATTGATTTAGTATAAGAAATCCTAAAGTGTAGGGCAAGTTTGTTTCAATTGTTTATGTATGACTTTGTATTTATAATGTGGACTTTGTTCTTGATGTTCAAGTCATTCCAGTGCATTGTTTGCAAATGTTTCTTAGTTAAATTAACCTTTGCAGAAGTTCATTATAAAAAAGAAAGCAAATTATTTTCATCAGCGTGCTGTACGAATTATAATTTATTTCCTTTCAAGGTGCGAGTAATAAGTAGAAGCTTGAGTTAAAGAGTTTATAACATTGTAAACAACCTCGAATTTTGATTGGTTAAAAAAGTTTTAACTTAGCAACAATTAAGTTTGCCCATAGTAATGTCAACTTTCATCCAATAAACGACAAGTTTGAAACAATGAACAAATGTTTAATTTATGCATGCCGCACGGTCAATTGCAAATGGCGGTAATAGTATTAATGGAATCAGAATCCAAAACACTATTTATAGTGTTATTTTCAAGCTTGTGTCTTAAATTCAGATTTTCATCTTTTATTTCCGTATTTACAGAATATTTATATTTTTAGCGCGGCCCTTAGAACGTACATCAAAACAACATGCTGTTTAAATCGTAGGGGTATAAAATTCGACTTAAGATGTTTTACCTTCAAACTACACTTCCTCAGAAGTTGACTGGTTGGGTTTTTTTGTGCAACGTCTCTGGAAATGCAATATCTGTATCGCTGAGTTTTTCGAATTTTATACATTTAATATACAGACTCACAGAATGTAAACAATGTTGTATGCGTTAGCGCATCACATGCTCAGAGCTAGACCATGTACATTTGTGGATAACATTTGTATTTGTGAGTAATACTTGTGTGTTTATTGGGCATTATAAAAACATCTCTTGAGGATCATGGCATGCTTTTAGCCTTTCGTGCTTTGCATCTGCAGTTCACAATTTGTATTCTATTGCACTGAAGCTCGTATGTAGTCATTTTCAGGTCAGTGTGAATGCCTGAGCAGGCGTTTTGTTTCTTAAATTAAACAGGGTAATTTAGCAAATGTTAATACAAGTTAATTGAAAAGAAAAGCAGTACATGTTTTATGCAATTAAATTAAAGCAACAAATTCATAAACATTAAACATTCAAAGCAAACTTGTCCTATCTATATTCCACGATTTTCCACAGTAAATCAATTATTCTCATTCTTCAAATAAAAATTGCTTCAAAGCTCATTGTGTGAAATGTGATTTTCCAAATATATGCTTTTGAAAATTGAAATCTTGCTTATCCCACTCCTGGCAAACAGCCATATTTTTGAGATCAGTGAGGATGACCACCCACGATTGGTGACCGGCGCCCGCACTGATTGATGAACTTTAGACTAGAAACAACCTCCTCTGTTTCTAAGGTGAAGTTAATATTGTCATGAAGGCTGTTTGCTATAGTTAAGTCTTTTTCCTGAGTTACATTTAGACAACAGAAATGCAAAGTAATCATCTATATAGCATTTAAGTATTACATATCCATCTGTTTTCTCCAAAATCTGTGGATCTACATTATTCATGTATATGATAGCCAACGTGGGTGCCAAATTATTGCCCATTGTTAAGCCAGATTTCTATTTATAACCTGTCCCTTCAATAAGAACATTATCACTTGATAGACAAAGGCGGAGTTCTTTCCTTGTTTTGTCTGCTAAACATGCCAATTTACTTTTTATAAGAGCCAAACCGTCGTCTCTATATAGGCTGATGCTTTCTTTGCCAAACTTCACATATTTTGGCACAATCATGGCTGCCCATGGTTATATCAAACAAACCTTCACTATCATTTTTTGTCCATGGTTTTCTGGTGTTGAAAAGTAGAGATTTTCTGGCATGTTTTATGATCGAAATATTATTTTCTGCAATAGTAGTTAAATTAGAATCCCAAGATAACAGACCTCTCAACTTTGCAGAGAAGTTAAGAGTGAGACTAGTACCAAAAAAAAATTTTCAGGAAAAATTATTTCGGCGACCTTCCTCGCCAAAAAATTTTCGGTCAGTGTACCATTTTAGGGGTCGAAAAATTTTTCCGGACTTACCAAAATTTTTATGCGTTAGATTTACTAAACGTGGCGTGAGAGAGAGCGTGAGACTGAAGCAAATTGCGTGAGACTCACGCCGAATGCGTGAGAATTGAGAGGTCTGGCGTGATAGCGTGAGACTGAAGCGAATTGCGTGAGACTCACGCCGAATGCGTGAGAGTTGAGGGGTCTGAGATAATGCTTGGTCCAAAAGTTTTTCAGAAATGGATGGGTATAAAAATCAACAATATCAAACAAAATAAAACTATGTCTTTCTTTGTCTTTTATATTTCCAAACCATTCAATTACTTGTTTTGTATTTCTCCACTGGTTCAAACTCAGTTTTTGTCTCAAATTGGAATTAATTTCATCTAAAATAATTTTGCTCAATTTTCCTGATTTGCTTTTAGCCGGCATTTTGGATTGTCCTCAAAATTTCTTTGTGGTCTTTTAAAGTTATAAACGCTTCACAGTTTTTCATTTTTTCAATTTTGTCACCGATTCCCAAATTTATTTTAGTTCAGAGTCAATTCCGTCTATAGGGTCCTTGGATGCATGTTTATATGTTTTTGTAATGTTGTCATGTAAGAGCTTGTTGTATATGTCGAGCGAGGCTTCATAAATATTTCTAGTTTTATCTGCAAATATGAAAATGTTGGGAGATGAATTTTCTTCATATTGTTAGCCAAAGATTTTTGAAAATGGTTTTTCCCTGATTGAAATTGTATATTTTCAATGAGTTTTATAAGGTTGGTTTCGAAAGGTTTCATTTCCGGAATTGAAGGAGGTGTTTTGTTGGATGCAAGGCCGAAATGGTTGTCTAGTATAATTAGAATAGAGACAGGTTTGTATTTCGTTTTATCAAGGACATAATCCTTTTTAAAAATAGGACGGATCTCAGCTGGCTTCCAATCAACAGGGACATAGGCTGAAATAATTATTTCATTTACCAGAACTGCTAATGGAGAGGCGATAGCTGTAGCACAATCTCTGAGAATTCTCGCTGAAATTGCATCAAAACCAGTTGCTTTTTGTGGATTGAGGGATTTCAGGATAGCCAAGATCTCAGCATCCTTCACTTTTCTGAATTGGAACAGCTTAACTATCGAATTTTCCTTAAATATCGTGCTGATGCTGGGACGAAGATTATCCTGAAGATAATTAGAAATGATCTTTCGTCTCAAACTAGTGGTTAAGTTACATTGGATTCTATACTTTTCACCAATAGTAGGATTGTTAGTTTGTAAAAAACTCTTCTTTAGTTTGTTGCAAAACCTGATTTTGCAATTATTTTTTCCCATAAAACGTCATTTCTTTGGTCTCACAAAATTACACTATACACTAGTGATCCACAGCATTTTGTTCTCCTTTTACAGCAATTGCTGCGATTGCCACAATAAATTAAGCCTCGCTATTAGGCCATATTCTATAAGGTTATTCTATATATCCAGGTGCTCCAATACGCATGTGGGCCAGGTGTCCCAAAACTAGAAATGGTGGCCGGTGTAAAGCCAAAGAGAAATTGTAATGCCATTCATACGTTCCTGGTGCTAACAACCATTTACCGTTTATTTTCCAAACTCACTGCATATTTTAAAGTATACTATATTATTTAATCAAAATTCAAAATAAAAAGTTACAAAAGTAAAATATATATACAAAATTTTTCACATCTCACAAAATCTCACTGTTGTTGTTATTGTCACATCTCTCAAGTCTGAATTATCTTAATTTATCTCCTCCGCATTAGTTATACTGCTTTTAGTAAATGTACATCATGCTATTTTATACTAATTAAATTGTTTGCGTGTTCATAATGGCATGCCCCCATCACATTGGTTAATGCGGAATATAGAGTTCCGGTTTAACATAAACAAAACTTTTTTGTTAAAGGATGACAAGAATGTGGAGGTTGTTATCAGAAAAATCAAGCCATTCCCAAAGGTGTTCATAAGACAAACTGCAGGAGACCTTGCAGATTCACCAGAAGCAGAGGTATGGATCATGGCTCACAACAAAGTCATAATCAAGTTTGTACTTGTGTTTCCAAAGTTTTTGACAATGCTCCTCAGGGCCGCCGAGAGGGAGGGGGCAAATTGCCATCCTCTCGGTGGCCCTGCTTATAAGCATTGACAAATGTTAATATGGCTCCAACGTGAAAGAGAGCCTAAAATTGAGTAGCTTCTTTAAATTAGTCAGAGCATTTTTGAAATTGAGGGCCTCTTGCAGTATCTTTGAACACATGCAGTTTAGCTAAGGTCTAGCTGAGTGACTGACTTGGCTCTACCATAACTTTTTGAGTAATGCAAAGCACCCTCAGTGAATCAAATTCTTGAGTAAAACATCACTACTAAAATAGACAATTCCCATTATAGACTAATTTTGAAACTAGGCAAACTTGCATCTCCATGCAAATAAATCACCACAGCTAGAAAGAGCTTACAAAAATGAGTAAAATTGCAAAGTTATGTCGTAAAATGTGGAAAGTATAGCCTTAAGAACAGGCAACTATGGAGGCCTGTTGCGAGTTACACGAAAACGAGGCTAGTTAGGTTATCTCCAGCCAAAATTTCAAAATAAACAAATGATTTTGAAATTTTAGCTGGAGAAAATCTGACCAGCCTCGTTTTCATGTCACTCACACCAGGCCTGCAGAGTTTCCTACTCTTTTTCGAATAGGTCTATAGGTGCCTTAAGGACGATATAAGTATACAAGATTCTGGAGTGGCAAATATGCAGAGGAACGCTTTTGGGACACCCTGTATGTATTAACTTTAACTAACCACTGAGAGAATTTGCAGGACCTGGTGCAAATCTTCTCTGGCGCCCCCATGACATTGTTATTTTAAAAGGTGGTAGTTAACCCAAAATTTAGTTAAACAGCTTTAATTTTTAAAAATATTTTAAGTGTGTTATTTGGTCCACAATTTATCGTAGTTTTACTTTCTGAACATATTTTTCAAGTAGTTGGAATATTTTTGCCGAAATATGCATTTTCCTGCAGTGGTGTATGAAAATCACACATAGCAATGGTATTTAATAGTTTTGTTTACCTGGTTGCTATGTGCTTTTTAGCTTAGTTTTTAAAATTTTTATTCCAAACCCCTGTAAAATATTGAAAGGGTCCCCCCTGATATCTTAATATATTTTTTCGGCCCAAGCCTCCAAGGCGTAATGAGGGCTGTTGTTGTTTTATAGCTGTTGTAGCGAGTCTTTACACTGATAGTTTCGGAAGTGTGATAAAATATTCAAGAATCTCTTTCAATTGAGTGCTTTGCAAGGCGTTTTAGAGTGTTTTTACTTGTAAAAATGGAGAAGAATAGTAAGGGAAAGTTTAGATTGGCGAGACGAAAGAAGAGACACAGTTTTTTCGGTAAAAGACCGCAAGAGTTCAACTGATAATTTGAGCGATGGCGCTGTGGTCAATAATGAGAGTTGTGATTGTTTGGCCACTGTTAGCGATGATCCTGTGGCAAATTGTGCACATGAGTGCAAGGCACACAATAACAATGACAAAGAAAGTGATAAACATAAACGGAAGGACGCTCATTAACAAAGATGTGAGATTAACCATGAGGGTTCATCTGAAGAAATGGAAGCTGTAGCAGCAGTTCAAATATTTAGCCGAAGCATTGAGACACGAAAGCTGGAGTACATGACTTTTGTTGGGGATGGTGATAGCAGTAGCTTTGGACGTGTGAAGGAAGCATTGGAAGAAAAATTTGGCTCAGCTTATCAGATAAAAAAAGAGGAATGTATAGGGCATGTCCAGAAAAGGTTGGGAACAGCTCTAAGAAAGTATAAGAATGACAATAAAGGAAAGAAACTATCAGATGGCAAGAGTTTTGGAGGGAAACGACATCTGACAGATAAAACTATTGATCGGATGCAAAACTTTTATGGACAAGCAATAAGAGAGAACAAAGGAAATCTAGAAGGTATAAAAACAAGAATAAAAGCAACACATCACCACATGATAAAAGATGACACTTTATCTTTATGTAAACAACACCAGCACTGCCCTAAGCCCAGTAATACATGGTGCAAGTACTGGAAGGATCAAAATGAGAAAACTTCAATATACACTGAAGATAATCAGTTGCCTCAAGTCTTCAAAAAAGAGCTTGAACCAATATTTACCAGATTATCAAATCATGACCTTCTTACCAGATGCTTGAAAGGAATGACCCAAAACCAAAATGAGGCTGCTAATGAGCTTCTTTGACTAAATTTTGTGGTGCTCGAAGGGTCGCATCGCTGCTTGTGAAACAGTGGCAGTGTTTAACACTGGTACTGCCAGCAAAGCATTGATGTCTATGTGTTGAATCATCCCAGGTCAAAACTCTATGAGGACTCTTCGACTGCAAGATAGAGTTAGAATTCAAACCAGTGCAAAGAAAGTTACCTCGAAATACAAAAACCATAGGAGGAAACTGTGTGCATTGCGAAAATCGAAAGGTGACAAGAATGCCTACCAAGCTGGGGGCTTTAGCCTTAGCTCCCAACCTGATATTAAACAAAACAAAAAGAAAAGAAAGAGAACTGCTGAAAAAACTGATGAACTTCAGATTACCTTTATAATGCTGACAATGGAGGTGGTTGGTAAGAAGAAACGTTAGACTGTCGTTGGTGATGGTACAGTACTGTCCAGAAATAACCTAACAGTGCAGCTGCGGTTAGGTCACGGTTAGGTTGGGGTTAGGTCGCGGTTAGGTTGAGGTTCGGTTGAGGTTCGGTTGAGGTTAGGTCGCAGTTAGGTTGAGGTTAGGTTGAGGTTCGGTCGAGTTTGACCGATTGAAACCGCAAGCGAAACAGCAAATTGTAAATGTTTTACTAATGCCGTAATGGCAAATTGGCAATACCTTGACTGTGCAGAAGTGGCAGGTACACGAGTTTTACTGTAACTATAGGTTTTCAAAAGATGTGAGCAGATCTCGGATTGTTAACTCTTCGAAAATGCTGTTTTTAATCTAAAATAAGCCTGTAATTAAACCTTTCAATAAACCGGAACATAATTAAGCTCCGTGAAATAAATTAATAAACATAATTGAAAGTCACTACCTCTATATATTACGTATATATATAGATATAGGAATATTTCACTGATGTCTAATGACAAAACCTTTTAGGAACATACAGTATAGTTATAGCTGCTAGCCGATTTCCATGATTTGCCAGGCAATCGTAAACTGCTATTAAATGTAGAAAAAATGGCGGAATTATATTCGATATTGTATTCGATATAGGCCTAGGGTAGTAAATCTAAAGCGCAGTAATTTTAATTCTAGCAATCTGATCATTCCGATTCTACTACTAATCTTGAGTTTTGTAGCGAAAAACATAAATATACACGCCGTAGTGAATCTATTAAAGAGTAATTAAAGTGCAGTGATTTTGATTCTATACTTTTATACAAGACTATAGTAATCTGGTTCTACTATCAAATACCAATTAGATTACTCATGTAGTTGCTGTGTAGCTGAAGACATTCTATATACGGTACTGAGTCATACTGACTACTGGGTAGTAAATCTAAAAGCGCATTGATTTTGATATTAGGAAGCATTGTTAATTCTACATTTCAACTGATATATTGCATTCAGTAACGCGCTGCCACTGGATGATTATATTATATGACATATTTGTAATTCAAATGTCGAAATAAAAAAGCTTGGCTTTTATCGCAGGCACTTTTGTCATATTACATGCATGCATATATTTTATTAAAATACCTGTATATATCAGATCTCAGGATCATATCTGCAGTCAGTTGTAGCCGTAAGACCCTTGCATCCATCTATGTTTAGGCTATATCCCATATATATAACGGCATATATAACTCATAAACACTTATTAACAGTATCATACCTTTTTCACTTTAATTCTTGTCCGTTGGACCAAGATCCAAGCACGCGATGGACCGATTTCTGTGACTGCTCAACACACTATTGTCTATACTGACTACATTTACACTATCGCCACAAATCAGTAAATGTGCCCCATTGACCATATGATTTGTTAAGGTTTATGAATTATGGTCGTGTCATATCCACGTAATTGCGCTTACGTCGTTTGGTCACAATACTCAAGCTTGGTTGTTTTGTACTCTCGAAAGCATCGAATTTTCGTTTTCCAAGTTTTGTATACTGTTGCTAATAGTTTATGGAAAAACATTCGACAAAAGGTTCTGCCCTGTTTGATGGTCATATAGACAAACATTACACAAATATAAACGTTTATTCATATGAAAAATGCGCGATAATAATGACTAACAGTAACAATGGGTTTGAATATCAGGTATGCTAATGTATAAGTGTCAGAGCCTGGGCATCTGATGAGTCATCGACTTCGCGTTTTCAGCCAATTTATGTTTCACTAAGTCTCAGTCAATATGTTTTTAATAAACAAAAATCCGGCAGTTTAAAGGTAGTTGAGTATGAATGACCTTAGAGGCACGTTGAAACAGAAAATAATAATGATTTACAGTATGTGTAATTGAAAGGTTTTCCTGAATAAAAATTACTATACTTCTACTGTTACTGCTACCAAAAGAAATTTTCATTGACAAACAGTATTGCAATATGTGGCATATACTGCTGTATATAGTGTTAAATAAAAACGGCAACAATTTTGTTATTAATGTCGCAGCATGTTTTTGTTTTTTTCTCAAATCTTGTCTGACTCTGTTTTCCAATGCTGTTGCTATGGGCTGCGTTAATGGCTGTTTCGGAATTTCAGCCGACATGCATGCCACACTTCACGCAAGCATATAACGCTTTTCAAAACAGCAAAATAACAAGCAAAATGAGTCAATGGTATTGTATCCTCTTGCTACAGTGATAGGCTACAAGCTCTATGGACGTTCAGTGAATCAGTATCAGTAATATACTTAAAGATTTTAATTAATATGAGTCAAAAATTGTAGTTATCTACAAGGAAGATATGTGTACTAGTATTTTGAATATCGGTAAAGTGAAACGAATTTTAACCGGAGAAGCAAAACTCACTGAAGGATCTACAGTTGAAGTCGAGTTCTATGGTTTGGACTATGAAACACTAGTTCTGAAGCTCCATGGTAAGTGCTGTTGTTGTAGGAGTCGCTGATCTCGAAACTTTTATTCCTTCCCCTTCCAGTTATTTTGTTATTTTGATTACGCTTTCTCCTGAGGAATACAGGGTATATAATAACTCTCTTTCTTGAGCATACTCGGAAAATTTCGGCATTTTAAAACACAAATTTGTCCCGAAATTTGTAAGCAATCGACAACTGTGGAAAATCAAAATGAAAGACGCTTTGATGCCTAAAATTCGGAAATGATTTCGGAAACATTCATTTCCGATTACGGGACAAACAAATTGCGGTTTTGTGTCTGAAAAGGTCGACTGTGGTTTTTGTTTCGGTCAAACAATGTCAAACCTTAGGCAACCTAGGTTAAACCTCACTCAAACCGCGGTTAACCTAGGTCAAACCGAGGTCTAACCTGGGTTTGATCTAGGTTTGACCTAGGTTGGAAACACATGTATTTTTTTATTTGGATGAGTAAATTTAACAAAATCAAAGTCTGTCTACTTGTTGCATAGTAATTGTCTAAACAAACAATCACAGCAAATTTGAAGTTGATACCTATTTTCCTTCCAAAGATATCATTGGTACAAGTATCTCCTGACATTGTTATTTGCTGTTACCATGGAGACCATTAAGTAGAAGTCATTAGTATTTAGTTTAAAAGTTGTTTAACAGTACCATCTACCCCCAGGTCAAAATTGGTAATGTTTGATTAAATTGTTTTGAAATTATAGCAAAAAACTGATCTGGGTAAGTTAGGGTTAACTACCACCTCAATTTGCTCTTTAAGTTGAGTTGTTCAGGGTTTTATTAAAGAAAAATTTAGAACTGCACATTTTGTTGTACAGTCACAACATGTCATATGGTGAAATCAGGGACGTAGCAAAGCATCTGAAGTTGGGGGGCAGGGTGTCAGAGAATTTTACCTGAGATTTGAATTTCAATTGTTAAAAATTTACCTAAAGTGTAAATTATAATGAAGCTTTCTGTGATTGAGAAAAAGGAGGTCTGTCTGGGGTCCTCCCCTACAAAATTTTACATATTTGAAGCTCTAGGACTTAGACATGTTTCCATACACATATGCAGGTAAGTTTCCCGATTTTGCCAGTTGTTTCCTGTCTTATACAGTTCTTTATCTGACCGCAGCACCGTACGACTGAGCCCAGTCACACATGGAATGATGATGAGCCCAGTCACACTCTTGATATTGGATACCATGACTTTGGGTTAATGTAGTAGACAGCTGACTAGTTAGTTGTCCTTTTTGGAGCTTCTTTAAGGGCTTTCCCAAAATTACGGGAGTACTGCAAAACAGAGTACAATAGCTCCTTCAAATGAACAACAGCATGGATATTTTCAACATCAAGTGTCATGCAACTGAGTGAATTAGTCACTGTGCAATTCCAGGGAGAAATATTGTGTTGTAGCTGTTCAAGTCCCCATTTCATCAGTGCTACTGAATCTACAATTTGGGCACCAACGTTTCCTTCAGGATCATTCAATTATTTCAGTGCCTTGTCATAAGAGTTTAGAATCATAGACATTGAAGGGCCATCTTGATTTCCAGGACAGTTGAAATGAGCAGCAAACAATTCCATGTCGCTGCCAAATGAGCAGGACATAATTCTTTGTTTTTCAGGATCAGCAAAATTATTCCATCTTTGTATGCAGCAATAGTGTTGATGGAAAGTACTTCTTTTGACAGCATTTCTACAATTCGGGATTGGTTTTCCAAACTCAACCAGGGAGACAACATCAAAATCCCCTTAGTATGTGCAACAAATAATTTGGTCCCATTAACACAGATGGAGTTCACCACAATCCAGTCGATTTCTCAGCAAAAGTTCTTCTTTACCTCATACTCCAACACCATCAGGCTCTAAACTAATACTGTATTTACTTGTTTGAGTGCCACCCCAATTGAGCGCTGCCCCAAACAAGTGCCGCATTTTGAGATCAATTTTTTTAAAGAGTGCCGCCCCAGAATGAGCACCACACTAATCATTTTCCTGGGATTGCCTATTTCAATGTGACAATTGAAATATTCTATAGGATATTCTATGGCATATTCTAAACGATTTTGGAACACATTCTATGGGATGTTCTATGGGATATTCTATGGAACATTCAATAGAATATTCAACTAAATTCTATAGAATATTTTATAGCATATTCTAAGCGATTTTGGAACATATTCTATGGGATATTCTATGGAACATCCAATAGAATATTCAGCTGAATTCTATAGAATATTCTATAGACGTCTGTTGAATATTCTATAGCATATTCTAAACGATTTTGGAACATATTCTATGGGATATTCTATGGAACATCCAATAGAATATGCAACAGAATTCTATAGAAGATTCTATAGACGTCTGTTGGATATTCTATAGCATATTCTAAACGATTTTGGTGCACATTCTATGGAATATTCAATTGAAGAAAACACAATTACTGTTGTATTAAAAAGTAGTTTAATAACTAATAGTTAGTGGAACAGCTAGTTAAACAATCAGAATTATGTGTTTATAGCTATCATTCAACTAGGAAATGGGTATTTAAAAGATAGTCAATGTAAGACTTTTATACAACTGGCCCAAGCAAGTTGGCAACTCGCAAGTTGGCAACAATTATAATAAATTTATTATGTGGAGAATATCATGTATATAAACTTTGCAAAGATTTCGGTCTGCCTGGATTTTCATATTAAGTACGAACAGATGTAAATATCCAGGATTGGATCAAAAGTGCTGCCAACAGAACCAATTTGGCATTGCTCACAAACCAAAGTAACTATGCAAGAATTAAAATAATAAACCTTGAACTAGTCAAAACTGTTGTAGAATAACTCTTTTTAGTGAATATTTTTATTACAATAAGTGTTAATATTACTGTTCTGTGCAGATGCTTTCTGTTTTGACTTTTCTACTTGTCACAATGTTGTTAATCCTTGTGTTAATCATTTATCTCATCATTGTTAATCCTTGTGGTCATGTGGTTATGTCTTCAAGAAGAACACTGCCCATTTTTCAAGAGCCTTACTGGCTCTTGCAAGTCAGAAACTATATCTGTTTGGCATGGCATTACTAAAAATGAAAATTGAGTAAATTTTACCCATTAAGTTTCATTGCATCCTATTATTTTACATTTTTACTCTGTCTAACACCAGGGTGACAAGACAACTTTACTCTTCAAGGGGAGAGCAGTTTTGCTCAATGGGTTAACCCTTTAATATGCAATGCACCCCCATATGCCCCACTTTAGTATTTACTCTGTATTGAATAACGTACACCAGATGATTTTACTTGTCAAGGAAAGGGGCTTGGACGTTAATGGGTTAATCAGGCCATCTGCATGCCTAACTAACCATTTAAATAAAATAAAATTTACTTTTAATTAAAAGTTTAACTCAATTAAAGTCATGTATATCAGTTACAGAAGCACGGCCCTGTTTAGGGGTGTTTACACTTTAGAAGATCCAGACTGATTTGTCTGGCTTGGGGACCACAATTAGCTGGGCCAGGATGTCATTTTCCTCATATAAAGCACTAATTAACCCATTAAGCTGCAGAGCCTCCCCATTGATGAGTAAAATCGCCCAGAGATAGACAAGTAAAAAAATAGGGCACACTGGGGCACATTGTGGCCCAATGGGTTAACTAGAGACATTGTCAGATTTTTTGGTTAATTTAACCCATTATTAGCTGTGGCACATTGTGGCCCAATGGGTTAATGAAAACTGTAGCGTACACCCCGCCAATAGAAAACATATTATATGTTGTTGTAAATATACTGTTAAATGTTCAATGTTACTTGGCAAAGTTAAATAAATAAATAAATATCCAGCTGTTGAGAACAATATTTGGGGCCGGGCTATAACCCAGCTGCAATATTTAATACAAAAATATATAAAGGCTTTATCTCAATCGGCACTAGTGCATCTTGAAGCTTTACAGATATATTCTATACATGTATACAACTAAATTAAGCTCATTCACCCATTAAAGAGAATTAAATAGCTAATTGCAAGATGAAGTAAAATTGTCTGGCATTGGACAGACTAGTAATGCAATAGTAGATTAGTAGGGTGCATTTTGGGCACATGCATTGCAGCTTAATGGGTTATTGAAGATCAATACACTGAAAATATCACATTAAATGCTGTAATTATTCTGTAATTCCAATCCTTATTGAAGTGTTAAAATGTTATTAACATATATATCTTTGATATGTTAATTTAATTATTATATTATTTCATATACTTTGACAAAGGTCTATGCATCTACCAAAGTGCCAAATACAAATATTGCTAAATTGTTACCATAGTGGGTAATTTAGTATAGAATTCACAATAATGGATTAGAATTTATATTTTATTTATTCTTCCCTTGCTAGAAATCGAAATTTCGTATGTTTTTTTATGCAAATCGACGCGGCAAATTCAAACATTCAACGGAATTTAAGACACATGGCCCAAGTATAAACAATCATATTCACTACATTATTTCGGAATTAAAGTGCTTAAATAGCATCAAACATGAAACTGTTCTTACCTGTGAGATTTGAATAACATTTTGAGAACTTTCCAATACCTTTTCCATCGTTTGGGTTAAAAATATAAGGGAAAATTTCCCTTGAAATCCACATGTAAGAGTATTTTGAAATTTCAATTTTAAAACGACGCTATCACAGAGACGCTATCCCATGAAGCTTCGCGCCCTTGCACGTAAATTAGGCACCAGGCTTCTAGTCAATGCGCGAACTATTGCTTCTAAAGAAAATCATATCTAATTATCTTTATATATATTAAGACTAATATTATATAAGAAAATATTAAAACATCTTATTTAAAGAATCTTAAGTTAATCAGCTAAGTTATTATTAGAAAATATTTTTTGTTTCAAGAACAAATTGTCTTGAAAGAAATATTTTTCTAAAATCAATCATGATCTTTTCTCTTCATGTAAATTTTTGGGACACAATAATATTGTAATAAAGTATAAATAATAAACTAGGCTTAAGTCAATAGGTTTATAACATTCTATGATATACTCTATAGAATATCCTATACTATTTCATTATAGAAAATATTCTATAGAATATGCTATTGGATGTTTCATTTGAATGTGCAATAGAATATTCTATAGGATCTGGAAGTTCTATAGAATATGGCAATAGAATATTCTATAGGATCGCAAGTTCTATAGAATATTCTATAGGATATAGAATATTCTATACCATATTCTATAGGATTCTATAGAACATTTTCGTTAAGCCTAAAAGCGTTTAACTAGAAATAGTATTTCGAAAGTTATTAAGCACAAAAGATGAATTGCGTTTATTTTGATACACCCTGTATAAGTAATGGTATATATAATATAGTTTGGTACCCCATATTAACCCATTAAAGAGCAAGACTCTTCCCTTGACGAGTAAAACCATCTGGCTTTAGACGGAGTAAAAGAATAAATTGGGTGCATTGCTGCTTAATGGGTTAATATACATGTTTGTCAGTATGATTTCAGTTTTGTCACCTTTAATTTACAGCTTAAAATTACTTGCATATCAGGGAATATTAGATTTATAGGAGAAATATCCACATGAAGGTGGTGACCCCAAAATATATATTATTTAGTATAAATGACCAGAGTTATAAGGGAAATACCACTCAAATGTGGTGAGTCCATGATATAACTCTTCCTGGGGAGATACCACTTGAATGTGGTGACCCCAAAATATAATTTCATATCATTCTTTTACTATAAGTCATATTATTTAGTATAAATGACCAGAGTTATAGGGGAAATACCACTCAAATGCATATGTGGTGAGTCCATGATATAACTCTTCCTGGGGAGATATACCCACTTGAATGTGGTGACCCCAAAATATACTTTCATATCTTTCTTTTACTATAAGTCATATTATTTAGTATAAATGACCAGAGTTATAAGGGAAATACCACTCAAATGTGGTGAGTCCATGATATAACTCTTCCTGGGGAGATACCCACTTGAATGTGGTGACCCCAAAATATAATTTCATATCTTTCTTTTACTAGCTATAATTAAGTCATATTATTTAGTATAAATAACCAGAGTTATAGGGGAAATACCACCCAAATGGGGTGAGTCCATGATATAACTCTTCCTATAGGGAGATAACCTCTTGAATGTGGTGACCCCAAAATATAATTTCATATCTTTCTTTTACTATAAGTCATATTATTTATTATAAATGACTAGAGTTATAGGGGAAATATCCACTCAAATGTAGTGACTCATGATATAACTTTTCCTGGGTGAACATAATTTCCATGTTATAATTTTACTATTTCTATGACTATGTTAAATAGACTTATACAGAAAATTGCACCAGTCTTCACCTCACCGCCATCACCGGTGCAGAAAGTTTGTCTCGCATTTACATATTCGTCATTTAGTCTATGGCTTATTGGTGAGACAGGTAACCAGCAAATACTAATAGCATGACCAATCTTTTTTCCTAGCTACGCTACCGTTCCCCATAGCATACTTCCATACATAAGCTAATAACCTTTAGTGAGTTTCTTGAACCTGTTTGTGGATCCTGTTCTGTTCCCACCTCTCCCTCTACACGCTGTCCACAAAAAGGAACGTTACCCATTAACAAAAATAACAACAAATTAATTGTGTATTCTATTCAAAACAGCAAATAATTTGAAAAGAATACACAATTAAATTTTTTGGGTCACCCCGTATATAAAAGTGTTGATCAGAGAGGGTATATGGCTTCTAATACATAATGTATTTTTGATTTTCAGTTTTGCAAAGGAAACTGACGATGAAGAAACATTGAGTGTCATAGAATTCGATGTGCATAATAGTCCTGATTCTACCACTGTTGTTCAAGAAGACATGGATATAAGTTATTCAGAAGATAGTGGAATGATTTATACTCAGCAAAAGCCAGAAAGCTTTGAAGAGAGGACACAAAGACTTAAACAGAAATTGAACACAGCATTCAATTCATTGCATGAATCTGGGAACAATAACAGTATACTTGCTGAGCATTTTATGCAAGATCGTATAATTGTTGTTATTATATATCAATAGTCAAAGTCGCATTTTTCTAGTGTTTTATTGGTTGAGAGCATATCACGTGAGAGTGACGAAATTAGGCTGTCTCCCTCGCAACAGCGCGAGAGGGAGATAATACGTTATCCACCGGCGAATAACAAAAAAAATCACGTGCGCCATCACGTGAAGGTGCGACCTTTGGACATGCCTAGTACATAATTAAAACTTTCGCTTTAAGTAACTGCAGTGTAGCCAGTGTTTAATATTTAACAAATATAAAACATTTTCCGTGTTGATATACAGTTATATCAACACAAGTGGAAATTGGGAAAACGAGAAATTGTGTGGAAACACGACGCCCGAAGGGTGGAGTGTTTTCACACAATTTCGAGTTTTCCCAACTTCCACGAGTGTTGATATAACTATATATCAATACGGAAAAAATGTTTTATATTTGTTTTATAATATAGCAATGTCAAAAGCCCGAAGAATAAGAACAATTTCCGTGTTACAAGCGGCGGAAAATTTCCCGTGTTGACATGGAGTTATATCAACACGGCTCTTAACCAATCAGCGTTCAGAATTTACAAATGCTATATTATAAAACGTTTTAACAATAAAATATTTCATGTATTTACGTTCATTTGTTCTTTAATTTGTTGTTTCTTTGACTATTGATATATAATAAAACACTTATTTACTGAGACCTCGGGAAAGCAGTGTGTTTTGTGGACCCTCGATGTTTCCCTC